TACGATTGATCTCAATCTGGTCGTATGCCTTGTCTGCCGCTTCATTCACCTCCTTCGCCTTCAAGTGATGCCATGCTATACAGAGGAGCTACATGTTCAAATTGAAGCGAAATTAGCAGAAAGGCAGTTCCGGTCCCTGCCTCCGAGACAAAGTACCAACCGTCGAGACTGATCAGGCCCCGTCCGGTGCGGCGCTGACGCGGCATTGTGCAAGGGTGGCAGCTATGCTGCTACGCTCTGCAGCTAAATTAAAACTCTACCACAAACCCTCTGCCAGCCACAGAATTTCACGGGCCACGCCTAGGCCAGTTCAGGTACGAGCACTGTTCAAGCAGAAGCTTCGGGGAGACAAGTAACGGAGGAGTCGCCTTCTCTGGCCGCCGCACCCGCTTCCGCCGCCCTCGACGGGATCCACCCGAAGCTCGAAGATCCTCACGGCTAGGGCCGGTAGAAGGAAGCTTTGTCGGAGGATGAGTCCAATGCTGCAAGAGCATGTTCCCCCCGGGCCCCGTCGCCTCTGCCAAGGTGACACTGCGCGCCGTGGCCTGACGGAGTCCGTGCGATGTCGAATCTCTCGAAAGATTTCGGATGATTTCGGATTTTGGGCAATGCAGGGGACATATGACAGTCTGCCGAGTGTGAGCCTGACGTCACGTGGCAGCACACCTGCAACCTTTTCTAGGCCTCACCCACTATCAAGTCGTGGACACGACTGCCTCAACGAAGCTGAGAAGTGCAGGGAAATCCTCGCAGCCGTGCGGGGATGTGCTGCAAGGCATAAACATCGAGCTGACGGCTTGATTCAACATGTCTGAGTGAGGTAGGTTGACATCATGTTCAAACTCGCCGATGTATGACACTAGACGTCGGCTGGATCGAGGTACTGTGTAAGCGCTGTAGCTGTGCCTGAAGCCCGTGAAACGGTCAGAAACAGCCTTCGGAGATCCCGCGATTCACACAATCATATGTCCCCGAAGACGCGCTGCGGCCCCGACAATGATTTGGGCACCCCTCCCCACGGCAAGCTCGAGGATGCGGCAACGCCTTCGCAAGCCCACGAGGAAGAACTTCCGGTACAGTGACTTCAAGGCAAAACGTTTCGAGGACCTCCATGGCTTGCGAGTTTTGGGGGGCGCTCCGGGCATTGCTAAGCCGGATGGTTCCAAGTTGCAGCTAGGCCACGCTTGGCCGTGTGGATCGCATGACCGACTCTTCAACCGAACACCCGGGTCAGAAGGCAGGTCTCCTTCCCTGAACGACTGCAGAGCCCCTGGCGAAGCGTAGTCGAGGATCACGTGGTTTTCCCGAAGGAGCCGGCCGAATTCGGCGACCCCGAGGCAAGCACCTTGGCGTGCTTGCACTCTTGGAGATAGGGGGGGGTGGAAGGTTTCGGCATCGAACGTTCGGTCTCGGCGTTGCGCGGCACTTTCCCTTTCCGAGGCCCAGTCCTGTGAGGCTCATGCCTGGCATCCAGCCGACGGCGTACTGCTGGAAAGTGCCGGGCCTTGAACTTGTCGGCTTTTGCTTTGATTCTCGCTTCCGCTCAACTTCTAATTCAGGGCTGCATTCCGCCGCTGGTGGTTGCCACGATGACTACTCTGGGAAGTTCTCCTAGATTGTCGGAGCGGCCCAGAGCGAGAAGAAGTTGCACCGCTGCCATCTCCGGCATCCGATGCACATCCCGAAAAAGGACACAAGCGTGGTTGAAAGCTCCGGCAGCTCCGATCTCAACCTACAGTACCTCCTAGTTTGCAACTCGAGCGATTTGGCGCAAGGCAACCCTGGCGCAGACAGTGCAGAACCAAAAAGAGCCTCCCTTTAACCAGTCCAAGGCATCTGCCACAGAAGACCGTGTCCAAAGGACACCGCGGGACCGATGCCCTCGGTGAGTCAAATTTCGGGCGAGGAGGACACTGCACACTACTGCACAATGCTTGAACCGGAGTCTGTCCGGAGCTCCTCTAGGTATTCCGAAAGGCTCAAGCCAGAACATATGTTGGCCATAGAACCCTAAAGCCGAGTGGCCAGGAGCTCCTCGACGTCTGGCATCGGTGCCAGCCTCGGAACTCGCTTGAAAGCCCGCACTGTCCGGTTTTCTGGTCGGCGACCCCGCTGTGCCAGGACTTCTCTCGCATCTCCCCCATCATCGGGCAAAACGCCGGACTTCCTGCACTCCCGCGCACGCTCTCCTCTCCGCATGCTGTGAGGATCCCTGATCCCTGAGGCATGAGGCCGGTGAGGCCGCCGGTGTCGCCGCCAAAGAAGTCACGCGCTATCTGATCTTAACTTCTCAGCATTCCCCCACGTCTGTACATTCTGATCGTGTCACGACCAAACCAATCTTACTTCATTGAGGAATATTGAGGAGCCCTGAGATTGAGGCATGGCGAAGCAAGGAATGCGGATCAGCTAGAGGCGAGCTTCCGCGCATTTGCAAAGGGAGTGTAGTGCCGTGGGGTCGTAGGACTATGATTCATGTCTGGTGCAACGGAGTGCTGATCCCAACGTGTTGAAGACATGGCTGTCTGAGTCTCCTGCTCTCTCGTTCGGAGCCTTAGGCAGGACAGTGGGTGCGCCAAAAGCCAGAAGGGCTCCAAGGATCTCAATGGCCAGATTATGAGAAGCTGATAGCACAACACTGAGATCCACCGAGCACCTGGCTGAGTCCAGGCAGTGAAATGCTTCGGCTTCCCGTCCTGCAGACAGCACGAAAGACAGTGCATTTACGTGATAACAAACCAGTCGCACATGCCACAAGGAAAGTTGGATCAACTGCGAGACAGTTCCAGCAATTTGCGAAGCCCGGTCTCATGTGTGCCTAGCTTTGATGTCCATCAAATGCCGTTGTTAAATAATCCAATTAGCAGATGGACATGCACGGGAAGGCAACTGGTAACCCAGCGCCACCTGGCATCCTCAGAACCCATGGACATGGTACGACAACCCAATACTCAAAGATGCCCAGGTCCAAGCCAGGCTAGTAAGGCTCTGATACGACATTTCTACAGACATGTGTGCGGCAACTGTCGTGCAGCGCACCCTGCACCCTTCTCCCCACCCTCCGGCCTCGTGCTGGGTGGACCTTGCGAAGCACTATGAAGTACCGTCGGGCAGCAAGCACAGTAGCGATCTTGTGCTCTCGGAGAAAGTTGACTTGGCTCACATCACTTCTTCATCTCTCTTATTGCAGAGCAACCTTACATGCCCTTTGCACATCTCAGCTCCTTGCCCTGTCGCAGTTACGCTGCCGGCACTGCCTGGCCAAATCCCTACCCACATTGCGAGCTTTCAAGGGGAAGCTTGATCTGACGCAGACAGAGCCAGGATCCTCAAGTCCTAAAGTCGACGAACTCTCGCCAGCAGCACCCCGTGAGGTGGCCCGGCTCGACAGTGCGCGAGGAGTGGCGGCGGCAGCACGGGCGGCCGCAAGAAGCGGCTTCCTGCGTGGGGGCCCCCCCATGTTCTGCTCTTGTGCATAGCAATGGCGGGTACTGCTGTCATATTGGGAGATTCGTGCTGCAAGACGATCACGGCCCCTTGGCAAGCTACGGGCGTGCTTGTCTTCCCAGCACGCTGCGAAATCAGAAAAATGACTACACCTGCTGCCGACAAGGCCTCCGGTCGAAGCACTCTCCCACGCGCCTGGCGCTGAAAGGTGGCCCTGAAGCAGCGCCCCTGGCAGCCAGGATATCGAGACGTAAGTGGCTAGACCTCCGGGCAGCATCCTGCAGCAGGAGTTGACCGGCACAAGTCTATGCTCAGCCAACCGAGTCATGGTCTGAAACCAGCCGATTCAGCATTGCTGGACCCTTCATTTCATGTGGAACTCCCGTTCACGGAGCCCTCAAACGGCCACAGCCCAGTCATAGCCTCTCAGAGGTCACGCTGTCGGAGGCCTCGTCTGCATGCAGATGCTATGCAGGGCAAGGGCGATGCGCGGGAATGCCATGTATTGCAGGGCTTCTTGGCACGGATTCAGTCACAAAGCTTGCTTTTTCTTCGAAGCAGCTGCCTTGACGATGTGCGGCACATGGGATGGCCGAGACCTTCACGTTTGCGATCAAGCCCTCATCGAAACAACTTGCTTGTGTGGGCTATCGTCTATCGGTTCTTCATGGCACCTTCTCAAAACAGCCCGAATCACCAAGGAGATGGCCGTGTTCCACCCTCTGAGTCCCAGTCAGATGCAGCCGCCCAAGCAACACAGGCGGAAGCGATTCCTGCCGCTGAAGGTGTGGGAGATCCACGGAAGAATGTGCTTGTTGAGAAGCTCGACGGACTACCCTTACCAGTCTGCACCAGCCCTCGTGATCCTGGACTCCGGAGCTGGGCTCACGGCGTGTGGGACCTGAAAGCGCATCAAAGAGCAACTGCGAGCTGCGCTGGCAGCATGCTCGTCTGTGGTACAGCAGCCATGGAGGCCATCGACTTGGACTCACTACAGATCACAGGAAGCCCTCAGCAATTGTGCAGGCCTGGGTTCTTGTGGGAGGCATGCTCCATGGCAAGCGCCTCACACGGCCTCCATAACTGTTTACCCCTGACGGGTTCCAGACATCTGTGCGACGACGCATCTTCACAATGCCTTGACAGTTCATGAGTTCATGTGTAAGCTGGCCTCGCTACCTCAAACAAACGGGCAGCTGCAGATTGGAGGCATGCTGAGCGGCTTCGTGCAAAAACTGTTTGTGGAGGGGGGAAGGGCGGCCAGTCTGGTCAGAGTTAGCAGAATGCACAACATCATGAGTGCAGGCAGAGCACACTTTCGATCATGCACTTGTGACACGGCATCCTGGTGAAACTTGCGATCGCCCTTGGACTCTTGGGAGCTAGATCCCGGTTCCGCCTCTGGCGAAATGACAGTTCGGGCCTTTGTGTGTCCTTCGGTAAGCGTATGCGCACCCTGTTGCGATGATCTAAGCCTCGACCCCCGCGACGAGCTTGACCAGGGCTTGAAAAGTCTGATGCGAGATGCCCGTTGCAGGCCCGAGCTGGGCAGACTAGCGCGTGGCGCCCATTCCGGAACTCCCAAGCGTGTCGCCACCTGGTCACTGCACATGTCAACTGCGACTCAAGCGACCAGGGTGCAAAGCGCAAACCCTACTGCAGGTGATGACCCGATGAAGTTCTCCCGCAATCCCCAATGCCATGCCGCCTGCGCCGGCGCCACGCAGACTCGCATCCATGTCCTCGCATCCAGCCGCACGGGATGGGCGAAGTTGAGATAGTGGCGGAGTCGAGTATGGTGCCAGAAAGAGGGGCTGGGTGAGGACGGATAGATTGGGCGGATACCATATCCAGGTTATCCAAAAACCGACATGGGCTCCATTCCGCCGTGTCCCGACTGTGGCAGGAAGTTATTTGCCGACACTACTAGTCATTGGGTCTGGAATTAGTTTGGTAATTTTTTTCTTTTGTTGGGGCATTGTTTTTTTTGTGGTTTGCTTGGCCGTGTTGCATTGCCTTGCAGGGCAGCATCCTCGGGCGTTCAAACGCGAGGTAAAGTTACACATTTTGCGGGCGCCGCGCAACCCTTCACAGGGTTTGGGTGCATTGAGCTGCATTTTGCAACCCTTCACAGGGATTGGCATTTTGCAACCCTTCACAGGGATTGGCATGGTCGAATGCACGAACGCTAGGTAAAGTTGCATTTTTTGATGTGCATTGAAATGAATTTTGCAACCCTTCACAGGGATTGGCGTGGTCGAGTGTTCGAACGCGAGGTAAAGTTGCAATTTTTTATGTGCATTGAGATGAATTTTGCAACCCTTCACAGGGATTGGCGTGGTCGAGTGTTCGAACGCGAGGCAAAGTTGCATTTTTTGATGTGCATTGAGATGAATTTTGCAACCCTTCACAGGGATTGGCGTGGTCGAGTGTTCGAACGCGAGGCAAAGTTGCATTTTTTGATGTGCATTGAGATGAATTTTGCAACCCTTCACAGGGATTGGCGTGGTCGAGTGTTCGAACGCGAGGTAAAGTTGCAATTTTTGATGTGCATTGAGATGAATTTTGCAACCCTTCACACAGATTGGCGTTGTCGAGTGTTCGAACGCGAGGTAAAATTATTACTTTTGATGTGCATTGAGGTGAAACTTGCAACCCTTCACAGAGATTGGCGTTGTCGAGTGTTCGAACTAGTACTAGTACTACTACTACCACTACCACTACTACAACTATTATTACTACCAATACTGCTACTACTACCACTACTACAAAAGAATACTACTACTACTACTACCACTACTACTACCACTACTACTGCTACTGCTACTACTGCCACTACTACTACTACTACTACTTTATTACTACTACTACTACTACTACTACTACTACTACTAGTACCACAACAACAACTACAACTACTACTACTACTACTACGACTACGACTGCGACTATGCGACGACGACTACTACTACAACTACTACGACTACCACTACTATCACTACTACTAGTACTGGTACTGCTAGTACTACTAGTACTACTACTACTACTACTGCTGCGACATAAAGTGACCTCACGTTGAAACCACAGTAATCAGGGATGTCTATATAGTGAGGTTCCGGAGCTAGGAAAGGAAGACTTCTGCGTCATGTTGGACTATACCCTAAACCCGCTAAACCTGAACATTAGTGTTCATAGAGTGAACTACATCAAGTCAAGTGCGTGGTACATAGATGACTCCATGACTCTATGACTCTATGATTCTGTCTCACTGTGACTCTATGACTCTATATGACTCTATGACTCTTTGAACTATGACTTGTGCTTGACATGTACTCGACTTTATTTCTCGATGACCCTATGAACTATGACTTGTACGACTCTTGACTGTATGTGACACTCCGACTCTGTGACTCCGTGCTTTTGACTCGGTGACTCCATGACCCTATACACTGGATTCTATGACGTAGCGCAACACTCTTCGCTGATGATGCTTTCGGGCCAATTGTCTTCTAGTTTTCCAACTTTGCTTTTTTATTATGGACTTATTTCTTTCTTTCGCTCGTTCATTTCTTTTCTTTCTTTCTGTTGTTCTTTCTTTGTTCATCTCATACTCCCTTCCTTTCTTTCTTGCTTTCCTTTCTGGTTTGATTCATTTCGTTCTTTCTTTGGTTCGTTCTTTCTTTCGTTCTTGCTTTCGTTCTTTCTTTCGTTTTTGCTTTCGTTCTTTCGTTCTCTCTCTCGTTCTATCTTTCTTTCTTTCTGTTTTCCTTGTTTTCGTCCTCTTTAGATACAGCAATTTTTGAATTTTTCCCAGGGGAAACACTGTTTTCATACGGATTCGTTTTCATTTCCTGAGGATTTGCTTGGTTTTTGGTTCGGGAAAACACGATTTTCCTACGGATTCCGTGGTATTTCCTTAAGTTTCTTTCTTTAGTTCTTGCTTTCGTTCTTCCTCTTGTTTTTGCTTTCGTTCTTTCGTTCTCTCTCTCGTTTTTTCTTTCTTTCTGTCTTTCTTTCTTGCTTTTTAGATACAGCAATTCTTGAATTTTTCCAAGGGAAAACACTGCTTTCCTAGGGATTTTCTTTCGTTTCCTAAGGATTTGCTTGGTTTTTCCTGGGGAAAACACGATTTTCCTACGGATTCCGTGGTATTTCTCTAAGTTGTCAACTCTCTTTGGTTCTTTCCTTGTGTTTTCTTTTTTCTTTCCTTGTAGCTTTCTTTCTTTACTTAGTTCTCTATTTTTGTTTTCTTTCTTTACTTATAGCTTTCTTTATTTACTTATTTCTCTGTTTCTTGCATGGCTTTCTTTCTTTCTTTCGTTGTTTCTTTATTTCTTTCTTTTGTTCTTTCTTTCTTTCGTTGTTTCTTTATTTCTTTATTTCGTTCTTTCTTTCGTTCTTTCTTTCTTTCTTCCTTGCTTTCTTTCTTCCTTTCTTTCTTTCGTTCTTTCTTTCTTTCCTTCTCTCTCTCTCTCTCTGTCTTTCGTTCCTTTTTCCCCTTCCTTTCGCGGATACCCGTTTAATTTTTTTGATCCTTATTTAATTTTTTTTGATCCTTATTTAATTTTTTTAACCCCTATCCCGCTTTACTGACCTAAATTCGCCTCGGCTCGGCTTAGGGTTGAGGGCGTGACTTAAGGACTGATTTATGAGGCTCTCTATGCCGAAGAAAAAAGCCAAGAAGCCGAAAAGCCAAGAAGCCAGAAGCCAAGAAGCCAGGGAGAATCAAAGCAACCCTGCACGGCTTAAAACAGCGGGGGGGTTGGGGGGGGCGCAGCCCCCCCCATTTGCAGAGACAACGTTCACATGATGGGCCGAAAACACTCTTTGAATCAAGCTTGCACGTCTCGAAAAGCGCGGCGGCGGGTGTTTTGTTCTTCCGTGCCTGTTCGTGTCTCTTCTTCCGCTAGCATTCTAACCTAATATATATAACATAGTAAACCAGAAGAACGACATAAGATGGTTCGACAACACAAAAATGGTGTGACATTTTCTGACATAACAGAACCTTGCTTCTTATAGCATATAATAGCATACTAAAAAACAATACAATATAACAGAAGATGACATAGAACAAAACAACATCTTAGTTTATAGTGTAGTACATTGTAACATAGTACAGTACAGTGTGTATATTTACAACATAATATGTAGCATATTTTATAGGTTACATTTACATTATGTTATATTCTGTTACGGTACATTACGATATTATGGTAAATTCGAGTGGGCTATGTAGTATCCTGTTGCTTGTATCTTTGTTTCTGTGATTTTTTCATATTCTTTCTCTTTCGTATTTTCCAACTTTGCTTTTTTATTATGGACTTCTTTCTTTCTTTCGCTCGTTCATTTCTTTTCTTTCTTTCTGTTGTTCTTTCTTTGTTCATCTCATACTCCCTTCCTTTCTTTCTTGCTTTCCTTTCTGGTTTGATTTATTTCGTTCTTTCTTTGGTTCGTTCTTTCTTTCGTTCTTGCTTTCGTTCTTTCTTTCGTTTTTGCTTTCGTTCTTTCGTTCTCTCTCTCGTTCTATCTTTCTTTCTTTCTGTTTTCCTTGTTTTCGTCCTCTTTAGATACAGCAATTTTTGAATTTTTCCCAGGGGAAACACTGTTTTCATACGGATTCGTTTTCATTTCCTGAGGATTTGCTTGGTTTTTGGTTCGGGAAAACACGATTTTCCTACGGATTCCGTGGTATTTCCTTAAGTTTCTTTCTTTAGTTCTTGCTTTCGTTCTTCCTCTTGTTTTTGCTTTCGTTCTTTCGTTCTCTCTCTCGTTTTTTCTTTCTTTCTGTCTTTCTTTCTTGCTTTTTAGATACAGCAATTCTTGAATTTTTCCAAGGGAAAACACTGCTTTCCTAGGGATTTTCTTTCGTTTCCTAAGGATTTGCTTGGTTTTTCCTGGGGAAAACACGATTTTCCTACGGATTCCGTGGTATTTCTCTAAGTTGTCAACTCTCTTTGGTTCTTTCCTTGTGTTTTCTTTTTTCTTTCCTTGTAGCTTTCTTTCTTTACTTAGTTCTCTATTTTTGTTTTCTTTCTTTACTTATAGCTTTCTTTATTTACTTATTTCTCTGTTTCTTGCATGGCTTTCTTTCTTTCTTTCGTTGTTTCTTTCTTTCTTTCTTTTGTTCTTTCTTTCTTTCGTTGTTTCTTTATTTCTTTATTTCGTTCTTTCTTTCGTTCGTTCTTTCTTTCTTCCTTGCTTTCTTTCTTCCTTTCTTTCTTTCGTTCTTTCTTTCTTTCCTTCTCTCTCTCTTCGACTTCGACTTCGACTGCGAGGGACGAGTCCGCCAGGCGGACCCGGGCCTTCGGCCCCCCTCTCCCCACAGCGGCGGTGGAAGAGAAGGCTTTGGGGTCAGAGGTCGGCCAACGAAGACAAAAGGTATGTGTGAATGGTAGTGTTTGCCTGGCAGGAATCCCCCCCTAAAGCCCTTTACACTAACGCACTTCCCGGCCTAATCGCCGCGCCCTCTAAGGCTGAGTCCTAAGTTCCTGCGACAGGCAAAAACCCCCCACTGAAACGAGTGCACGGTGAACGTCCCCCCATAAACCACAACACTCTAAGGACCACGCCAAAACAACGAAATCGCTAGTATGCAACACCTGGGGTCGTCACCTATGCTGCAAAGTCTCTTTCTAGGTTCCTATTGAAAAGTTGAGCTGAAGGGTTCTCCCCAAAACTGCAAACAAGTCTCTACCGCAATTTAGTGCAGTGCAATGCATGGGCATGTGGCCCGAGTCGGTGGTTGGTTTGAGTGGCTCCAGCGGCCCGTCTTGAATTATACTTAACATTGTAAGCAAACAAAGAAAAACTGCCAAGGTATTCCCCCGCTCACTGCTTGTAGCTCACGCCGCGGCTTTTCCCCGCATATGTTCTTGCACGCGTCTCACTGCGCGCCACATGGAACCAGGTAGTAGGCGGACTTGGCGGGGGGCATGTCCTGCTGCTCCCCCTGGTTGCCGTTCCCCACCTCGCCCACGTTCTCTTTGAGTCGGGCTGTGGTTGGTTGGCGGCGGTCGTCCCCCAGAGCTGGCGCTGGCTGCCTCTCCTTCGGCGCTGGCCCGCTTGGTTCCTTTTGGCCTGTCTTCGCACTCGTCCCCTAGGCAGACTGCGGTTCGCCCTACCTTTTTCTCACGACTCTCCCCTGCCACTGTGCTCTTCCGGTTCTTCTTGTCCTTCTTCTCCCGGTCCTTCTTCTCTTTTTTGTGCTTCTTGCTCTCGTGCTTCTTCTTGTCCTTCTTCGGCTTCTCCCCCTTCTTCTTGTCATGGCTGCTTGTCTCCCCCTCCTTGGGCGGTGTGCGCTGGCTTTTGAACTCTTGCTTCGCCTGGCTCAGTAGCGCCCCCACCTTCCACGGGTGCTTTGCTATGAAGAGGAGAAGCTCTGTAACGATTTTGGGGTTGGCTTCCGTGACGATAGCGACCAGTTTGTCAGCTTGCCGTCCTGTCTCCCTTCTCGCATTATGTCGCTGCATGTACTGTTCCCATTTCTGGGCACTGGCCTCGTCGAGAATCTCCCCCGTCGCACGGTTCTTGTATTTCCCCGTCTTCCAGTTTTTCTTCACGTCTTTGCCGATCCACCGGTCCAAGGGATCTGGTTCGTACAGCAGGGCCGTCCCTTGTTCGCTTTCGAAGCGGACGTAGTCACTGTATGGCATTGTTTTCCCCGCAGCCACACACGTCCCCCCGGCTACGCGGTGCTTGTAGCATGTGGGGCCACTGTCGTGGCTCTTATGGCAGAACGGTCCATGAAGGCAGGCTCGGCATGTAACCCCCTTTGCTTTGAAATAGTCGGCCCATTGGCACTGTTCTTGCCATGTTATGTTAGTCCTCCCCGGCTTTGCCGATGGATCTCTTTCCACTCGGCTTCGCCCACCTCTGGGGTTCTTTTCCCCCCCCGGCTTGGATCGCGAGGAACTCGACATAGTTCGGCAGGTGGTAGTAGAGCGAGGTCACCCCGAGTTCCGCAGTGATGTGGTATGCTCCACCCCCCTACTGGCGGGCCACCCCCCCGAAGGGAGGGCCGCGGTCAGGTTCGGGAGAATGCGCTGGCAACGGGGCCTCTTAAGCAAAACGGCAGCAGGCGGAAAGCTCAAGCACCGCTGGGGAAAACGACAGAAGCTCCCAAGGGGTAACAGCCCCGAGTGAACTCTGCGTCTCCCCCCCGATGCAGAGAGGGCTGAACAGGCCCTCCCCACAAGGGTGCAGCACTTGAGCCTTCTCTCTCTCTCTCTCTCTGTCTTTCGTTCCTTTTTCCCCTTCCTTTCGCGGATACCCGTTAATTTTTTTTATCCTTATTTAATTTTTTTTGATCTTTATTTAATTTTTTTTGATCCTTATTTATTTTTGTTAAACCCCTATCCCGCTTTACTGACCTAAATTCGCCTCGGCTCGGCTTAGGGTTGAGGGCGTGACTTAAGGACTGATTTATGAGGCTCTCTATGCCGAAGAAAAAAGCCAAGAAGCCGAAAAGCCAAGAAGCCAGAAGCCAAGAAGCCAGGGAAGCCGAGAAGCCAAGCCAAGCGCGCACACAAGCCAAAAAAAAAAAATGCCCAAAAAAAAAAAAAAAATCCCAAAATAAATACACCTCCCTAGTCATTATCCTCGCAGAGTCCTGGCAACGTACATGCCTGGACCAAGAGCATTCGATTGACCGTAGCCCACTAAAAACCCTATATACCTGCCAGATTGAGCTGCCCAGGCGTCCTCCTCTGCACGCATGGACTCGGCCTGATCGGACTACATCCTGAATTTCCACTTCGGCATGGCTGCCTGCTACCACACGCTAGCCGGCCCCGGGCCGTGCACATCGATGTGCAGTAAGGGCTCGCAGGCAAGATGCAGGCAGGGCATCGGAAGGTGATTGTCGGGCCCCGCCTGCATCTGTTCTTGCGAGATGAGGGTGCGTCCGCGCTCCTTCGGAGCCCTGGCAATGCGGAAGCAGAAGCCACCAAAGTCTTGCTGTGAGATACTCGTCCGGTCAGGAATCAAATCCGAAACAGCACTGAGGTTGCTGGGCTGCTGAGGCATTTGCTTGAAGAGGAAAATGGAGATAGGTATGCATGCAACGATGCATACCTCAGCTATCATCGGGCACGTGGAGCACAAAAGGCCCCCGGCTCCATCCCCTGCTCAGGCAGCGGCAATCACCACCACGGTAACTCGGCAAGCACACGGCGTCATGTAGAGTATCGCCACGGACGGATCGCTGCTCAAGTTAAACAACAGATCATGATCATTGTGCCGTTGGGGCCGCGGCCGATGATAGCAGTGACTACACCACTGGGGCACTCCAGAACAGCCTCGCCATGTGGGGTGGGGTCATGGAGCTTGGGGGCCATTTGCCTCGCTGAAGGTCATGCAAAGCCTACTTCAATGGGCGAAGGAAGGCATTTTCGGCTCTGGATACCAACAGTGCAGGTGCAGGCAGCATCATCCCAGCCTCATCGTAATCCAAATGCCAGCCGTTTCTGCTCCCCACCTTTTTCGAGTGGTCGGCACTTTCCTTCTCTCCGGCGCTTTCTGTGATATCGCTTCCGCTAGGCCGCAGGCATAGATCGCTGCGTACCAGGCTATCAAGGCATCCCTTGGCAATGGCAGCAGGTGCATAAATGCGAAGCCTTGAAGTGTGTGAGAAAGGAAAACGTAGGCCTGTCGGCGCCGTTGTTGCATCCGGTCGGAACACAGAAGCTTTCTTGCACCTGCGACTTTCGATGTTCAGCTGAATAGTGAGTGCACATAAAGACAGGGCTGGAGGGCTTTCAAATCGCGCACGAGCACTTTTGCTGCAGCTTTCAGGTGTGATCGCATCTGGTACGCGGTTTCTGTGATTTCAATTGAAAGAAGAGAATGGTGAGAGCATGTCGCGAACGCAAGTGTCGCAGGTTCTGGCCACGACCCAAACCGTGAGCATGTTCTGATTTCCTATGGGCGCGCGGTGTCAGTGGCCAGCTTCTTCTGGGTTTCGGCTTCGCCACGGGCGAAGACCAGCCCGGCCCGGCCCGGGCCTCGACATCTGGGGCACCGGTCCGGAAGAAGGGCTTCCGTTTGACGATGCAGGCCTGCCAGCGGCAACGCGATTCTCACATTGCTCGCTTCTGCGGGTCTTGGGGGTTGAAAGGTTTGCATGCGATTCGGACTCCGGAGGTCTGTCCAGCCTGGCCAAAGTTTTGGTTGCAGAGCGTGATCATGTTCTGGTGGAGGCAGTTGGCCACGCAACTGGGCTTGGTGTCGCGTCGGAGTCGACTGCATGCCGAAGGGATTCTTGGATCACCACGTGGAACCATTCCCCGGAGTCGAAGGATCACAAAAACACCCTTGCCAAACCCATTGTAGACACTTGCAGCCCTGTGCAGAGCTGTTTTGCAGACCCGTCGACGCGCAAACCTCCCACAAAAGGCCGGTTCCGGGCTGCCAGGCTTAGAACAGTCTTCGCCCTTGCCCTCCGCGAAGTTGGCGACCCTCAGTGCTGGGGTCTCATTAGAGAGCGAGAGAGGCGAGGCTTTCAAACCTTGGTCGGCTGTGGCAATTTTTAAGGTTTGCCACCTTGCTCTGCTGAGTGCTTTAAATCAATGACATGCCCTGGAAGGACACCATCCAGAAGACCTGCCTGCCTATAGTCCGGAAGGAAAAAAAAAGCACCTGGTTGCAAGTTCAGCGCTCCGCTTTTCAAGGGTTTCTAACAGCAGATCATTTTGCACCATGAGCACCGGTGATGGGCCCTGATTTGCTATGGAGGCTGAGTCCCCAACACCTCAGACTAAGAGATGCTAAGAGCAGAAGCAAGAAAGATGGAACATCCTGAAAGCAAAGCACAGCAGGGAGTCCCAGGACTAACAGTGCTTCATCCGTGTTCCAACTTCCTGGGGTTGGGATGAACTTATGACTCTCAAACTAAATGTCGATACCAATGTGGACCTGACGCAACCCCGAACGCCGAACACCAAGGCCTGCAACAGCCGGCCATTTCGTTCTCCAATCGCAGACGACACCTCGAACCGGGCAAGACGCTGAAGGTCTTGAACCCAAATACATCCATACCCACCAGTCTCGCAGTGTGGCGAGTGCTGGCTCTCAAGATTCGGGTCGTCGAGGCGAGCAGCCGGAAGAAGAATGAAAACAGCTGGGTGGAGTCATCCACATGCATCCGAAACGAATCTATACAGATTTTGATGCACATGCCGGCATACACGGCAGAGAATAGGATTTGGCAGGAGTGTACTTGCAGATTCAGCGCCCCGACGAATCCACCGTGCTGGCTTATGGAATCTGCCGTACCAGCATGCCGTGTGACCATGGGCTAAGCCAGCGGCCAGCGCGTGGCAGAGTTATTCACATAGCCCCAATTCCTGGGCTGAAGACGCGGAAGCCATCTCTCGAAGTCTCAAGCACACCTGCCACACTGCAAAAGTTGCCGAATGGCGCCATTGCTGGCGAAGGCAGCTGAAAGCTTTGCAAGTTTCCCGGAAAGGAGTATTGAAAAGCCATGGATCTGCAGGGACCCATCCGAGGAGCCGACGGATCTCTCAGCATGTCATCGAGGTCTTCCCTGAAGTCACAGATCATTCGTCGTTTCAGACTTTCGGTGGGCCTCAAGGCTCCAGTGACTCCAGTGCTCAGAGGCGATTGTTTAGGGTGTTCGATGCGAGACAAAACTGCGTCGAAACAGCCGTGCGACTATGCCCGCTTCTCGAACGACCGCCTAGCCATGCCTAGCCTGCATTGCTGCGAGGTCTGCAGCCGCCGGGGAGTGGCCTCCAGGAAGCAGAAGAGCAAACTCTGGCGCACCGGACCCATGCTGGTGACCGGAACCCGCCTCTCTCACCTCCTCACCGGAGGTCACGCCGGCTGTCAGGAGCAGCCCTACCTCCCAAGACATGTTTACTCGACGTAAATCACAATTCGCGTGCCAAAGCTTCTCAGCTTGGGCCACAGCCCTGACGGTCCATAGCGTCACACACCTGTCCACTGGAGATGTCGTGCGACGGCTCCACACGGTCAAACAGTAAATAAAGTAAGGACCAAGCATGCCCCAAGCTTGATTGCACGCTAAGCGCAAATAGCTCGAGCCAAACACACCCGAGATTCACTCCAAAAGTCTACAGAATCTACGTGACTCTACATGTGCCCGCATGCAGGGCCAAACCTCCTGCAATCAACATGCCGACTGCACGAGTCACCCGCACAGGTCAACGGTGCACTTTGATGGATCACACATCTTCGGGCAGCTGGCATCTCTCATCCATGAATTCCTCAGAGGAAGCTCAGAGGCTCCGAAGCCATGTCTCGCACGAAAACTGTGGAAGGCCAAGGTGCGGAAGCCAACGATGGAAGCACCTCGACAGGAAAGCATCCTACCTTTAAATTTTGCATACAGAAAATCCCAGGCTGCACAACCTAAGCACTGCACGAAGCCCCACACCAGAACAAACCTGCAAAACGCTGGCCTCCACCACCACCAGGCAGGGCTGCAAACGAGGATCCTCCTGAGTGGTACAGCTTTTGCATCAGAAGAGTGGATCTACGCATTCAGCAATGATCTCGAAAAAAAACATCGCTCGACATGCCCTCCTGTGCAGCAGAGATGTGGCGCAGTGCCTGCAATGCACAGGAAGCATAATTCCGTGTCGCATCCAACTAGCAAGCCTCTCTATGTGATCGAACCTCTCTTGAGATTTTGGAATCAAGCAGTCAGACAACTTGCCCGTCGTGTCCACTGTCAAAAAAGCAAGGCTTCGCTGCCCAACTGCACCATGCAGGCTTGCTTCCATTCGGGCCAATGTTCACGCCTCACGAAGGGGCCCAAAAAGAGTAGTAGCACGATATCTGGGCGTCCATGTTGATGGCCTCATGACTACGATTCCCTCTCAATCCCTAAATGTTGGATTGATAAACTCCATGTTCGAACTGTAGGTTCGGAAGCTCTAGATGTTCATCTAGGTTCGATCAATTTGTTTTCACTTGAATTTCATCCACTTCACTTGCATCGAAACTCGATGAGAACCGGAACTTTGTGCCCACCGCCCAGTGCAGCATCAAAGATCGTGCAAGCAACCCCACCTCGTCTGCGAGAGCACCTGCAGCTGTACATCTGAAAAATCACCGAGATGGGCATTCAAGAATCAACCTTGCATCCCTTTGCACCGGGGGTGCCACTGCCCTCGTCGTGGAAGAAGCCCAGCACGGCCTATATTTCGACTCTTGGATTCTTGCGGTTCGACCGGTTCAGCATTGGAGGCACTCAGCATTACTTGCAGGAGATCACACAGGCCGATTTTGACTCAGGCCTCTTTTGGAACACTGCTCATGCTCTCGCTTCATAGTGTGACGGCACGAAGCCTCATACAGCCGAAAAGTTGAGCCGTGCCTGGCCTGCTGCCACTGTACGTCGCCTCTGTTGTGACAGGCCTGGCCAATGCAAACTCACACTTTGAACTATCTTGAGCTTGCCGCGGCGGCGTGCAGCGCTGCTGCAGCGTCACGCAGTTGAATTTAAGGATGCCGTGCCACTTATCTGCCACCCGCCTCCCCAAAAAACAGAAGCGGAACCCAGGGCCCGCCAGGCCTCTGCGTAGATGAGCGTTCCAGGGCGGCCAGGCCTAGGTTCGCTGGGCACAACCTTTAGCCTGGACACATCCATCCCATGACACAAACCAACCTGTAATCTGCGTGAGGTTGACGATTCATGATAATGATCGGGGCCTCGGGTCGAGGGCTGAGAGATCTTGGAATCTTGTCCAAGTTTGCGCCGAATCCTCTTCGGCTCTAGCAGCGGTGCTATCAGCACCACTTCCCAAATTTGTTTGGGCATGTCGGGATTCGCGCAGTCAAACTTTAAGGGAACTGAGTTTGCACTAGCACCAGCCACAAGCATAACAGAAGGGTGGCTCGGGCTTCAACCCCTGACTCAAGGTTCGAAGAACACACTCAATGCTGTCTTCGGTCTGAAGCAAACCAAGGCTTCGGCCACAGCAGCGCTGCTAGGGGAACCACTCCGGGCGGTGCTGGGGAGGCCTTGTCGAGGACATGAACAAGTTGTTTCTTCAGCTGTGATGGAAAGGATACGCTCCACAAGGAACGCACCTCAGCCC